TCAATATTTTCCATGGAAAATTATATCAATCAAACAAAATTAATTACAATTTCCAGTAAAATAATTTTTAGGCAAATCAATTCCCTGTAAAACACTTTCTTTCTACCCATTTTCCACATTTGTAATCAAACGGACCCTAACTGTTTTATGATGGATCGGAGCGGGAAAAGAGGATTTATGTAAGCGAGCCTCAAAATTTATGGGTACAAAGCTTTCTTGAGCTGAGTTGACTTTACGAAATGAATGGAGATATTTTTCAGCAGATCAAGAGAAGTTAAATTAGAAAGGAATTATTAAATGAAGCAGTAAAAATGATTGCAAGGTGCACCTTTGTGCTTTGCACTTTGGCAAGTGCCCAGGCACATTTTTTATGACAATTGCCATTGAATGCCACATAATCCGTACCCACTTTCCAAATCTAAATGGTAATCTGCCAGTGCAGACTTTTATCACCATATTAATGAATATCTGAGGAGATTCTACTTGGCCAAGAGAAATGATGGAATAGACTTGATCAACTTTAAAATTTAGAATTATTTTATTTTAATCATGATATTCCTTATTTCTGCTACTATGCTCGTTCCATATTTAGGATTTATGATAATCTAATTGATTCAAATAACATATTGGCAATTCTTTTTGGGTTTTGAAGACCTAAATCACCATCTAGTCAATTAATTTACTCATGAAAACAGATACATAGCTGGCATATGTGATACAAACAGAAATCATTACTCCGTTCAAACATTCATCAGTTCAAGTAGACTAAGCAAATGAGTGCGTTCAACTAGAAGGTTCTTTATCAGAGTATCACAACAGCGCACTCCACAATATGTCAATGCTTCCCCAAGGGGAAAACTTCCTCTGGATGTTGATTTGTGTACTGTGACAACCTTCTCCAAATTCCATTAGAATGAAATTTTTTACTAGGCATATTTAATTTTGCTCCGAAAAGTAACCGACAACAATTAACTTCTAGTCTTGGCCCATACAAAAGCTTGATATGAGCTTGAAAAAGATGAATAAATAAACTTAGTAGGTAATTTTGGACCTCTTCCTAAAGAAGACAACAGTTGTTCAACACATTTAAAGTCCATCTATTGTAAGCAAAATGAATAATCTTAGAATTTACACAAGTAGAGAGGTACATTCAAAATAGTTCAAGTAACTGAAGAACTAAATATTCTCCATGGAAGGGGAAAGAGGACAGAGAAAAGAAAACAAAGAGGAAATAAAAAAGAACGAGCCACTGGAAGAGAAAACTAACCAATACATCATCCCAAGAGAATATGTTCTCAATGAGAACTTTGTCTACAGCATATATGCAGAATTCTGCGATTCTGCCAATTCCTGCTTCACTAACAACTCTGCTTTGTGGATAGTAAGCAGCATCTTTAGTCTCAGAACAGATTTTTGCAGCAACTTCCTGTGTAACTGATACAATTGCTGAACATATTCTTCTATAAACGATACATTTTTGGATACAACTGTCATGCCATTTTTCATGATGAAATCCCCAAAACATTTGTCCCATAGATAAATCAAGCTTAACGACATCAGTTGGAGTCTCCACATTCTCCCCAGTGTAAAGTATGGTCTTTACTTCCACAGAAGATCTATTAGCCAAAACAATGAAAAACAATAAAATGAATTTTTTTAGGCTCAATCTAATTCTTCAGCAGAAATGTAGCCCATGTTTGTCTCCCTTTAAAACAAAACTCTTTAATTCTCATACTCATTTTCAACACAAGTTCACACAATAAAATATTTTGCACGTAATCCCCAAACTTTTCCTATTTTTTATCCACACTATTCAAAACATCATTTTTTTCTCAATAATAATGGCCATCAAATAGGGGCTTAGTTAAGTTAATGCCAGATCTGTATAACATAAGCTATAATTTTATGTATATAATTACAAATATGCAAAAAATGAGTGATGAGTATTTGCGAGACTAATAATTAGTTCTAGTTTTGAAGCATCTTCTTAAAGCAAAGCTGTAATGGAAAATTCGTATCTAAGGCTGACTTAAGTGACGGTAAATCTAAAGCATGACAGTAGGCAGTACCTTTTTGGCAGATCAGGAACAAGAACATATAAAATGATAGGACCAAGAACTTCACACATGTCCGACCTTCTTCCACGATCTAAGCATACCTTCATTGGCGCAAGTAATTCATCCCGCAATGGAAACGCAGTCCGATGTATTCAAAGATTCAGAGCAATAAATCAACAGGAGAAGAGCACGTGTAGAAATCGAATAGTTGAAGCAATTTGCCACAGCTTCACAGTGCTCTAGTGCTTATTGAAGCTCAAAGGCGGGACCTCTATTACAAAGCAACATTGTTGGGGGATCAAGTCCCAATTGGCCAGCCATATATAAAACATCCTTGTGCAAGGTTGCCCTGGAACAACGAAATGAATAGATTGACAGAAAATTGCAAAGAGAGTTTTACCGACCCCTCCCCCCCACACACACACAAAAAATAAAAAGAAAGAAAAATTGAAGACAACAGATGAGTTTTATATTCACAATACATACATATTATGTTGATAAGAAATGCAGTCTTCAAAAAAGGCAAGCCCTAGTCATATGTTTTAGCTTAAGTTAGCATGGTATACTGTTCATCAATTGCGTAAAATGGGAAAAAAGGGGATTAAAGGCTAATCTAGTCAAAGAAAAGCAGTGCCACCATTTTATAACAAATCTGCACTTCAAAATAAGAAGTTTAGCTATACATAAAAGAATAACTAAAGAAATTAGTTAATAAAAGACTAGCACAAACAGCAAACTAAGTCTCATCTCATGTAATTTTCAGGCTGTATGGTCCAGTACAAGACTAGCACATACCAATTTCAATTTGGAAAGTGTCTAACCTGGCTGTATGGTCCAATACAACTAGGTGCCCAACAAGAAATACTTTGAACATGCAAGACATTTTTTATATGACCATCTGATACCAAGACTTCAACATATGCCCTCCCCAAACCAACTTGCATCAGAGGAAGTTCAATTGTAGAACGTGATGGTACACAATAGCGACATTTCTCCTGACTAATAAATTTCACGTATGTTTCATTCGCTACAGAAAAGTCATTCATGTTGGGAACATATAAATGAATATAGAGAACATTCTCCCAAGAGCAATTGTATTCAACAAGAAGCATTTCAATTTTCATTAGAACCGCTTTAGGATCCTCCCGCAAATCTGTCAAATGAGCAATCTCATAAGAGCAGATAACCAGAATTAAAGAAAAGAGGAAAATGAAGAGAAATTTGCAGTATGAAAGAGGGTGCTTTAGAGTTCACTACTTTGCCACATTAACCTTCCATTGTGACTAACGTTATACCTCCTGATGTGTTACAGGCATCTTGCAGCCAGCAAGAGATGGAAAAGGTGTCGTCCTTCTTGGATTTGGAGATTCGGAGTCTTTGTTTTATGTCTAGTGTTAAATTAGAATTTAAACTAGCTTCCTGGATTGACACTTCACCGAGATTGTTCCCGTCCCCCAGTACTTCGTATACTGAATCCATTTCCCCCACAGTGACCTCATCACTACCATCAATGTCACTTGGAGACACAGACTCCAGTTTTTTCTCCAAATGGAAGGCCAAGGGATGAAGGACCCCAACAGGAGCTATGTGATCTGACGAATGTAAAACAACTTGATATTTGTCTAGCACAATTCGAGCATTCTGCAAAAGATCTATATGTTAAAAATGTTGAAAGGATGGAAAGGAGCATTAGAGTGAGTTAAAGAACATTTTAAGTAAAAGTTTAGCTAGATATTCGAAAAGTATGCATGAGTAACAGTTAAAGGTGAACATAAACTATACACATATTGCGTTCCCCTGCCTTGCCTCAAAGAAATAAGAAGAATAAAAATAATAAAGAAAGTGCAAAGATTGAAATGTCTGGATTAAGAAGAAAGAAATACATATTGAAAGGTACGCTTACTTTAAAGAGGGGACAGTCAAGAGTTAATGTTTCGTATTCACCTCCTTCACCACATACATTTACTCCATACAACCTCTCAATATATCATTAGTATAATTATCAACTGCTTAAAAACCAAATATTATTTGAGCTGAACAGGTTAACATACTCTTTTAGCTTGTGAAGATGGGACTCCAAGTGTTCTATTTCCTTTCCCAAGTGTTTTGAAGGGTGCAACCCAATGGATGCAACCTTTGACAAAAAGAAATCAAGAAATTAGGTACACGTTGAGACTAACATAAAAAGAAAATTGACTTTTTTGCCCAAGTGCACAAAACTACTTTGAATTAAACAAAAGAGTTGCAGATCAATCAACAAAGAGAAGTGGGAAGGAAAAAGAAAAAAAAAACAAAACTAGACATTGTGAAAATTGTTTCTAAGATGAGGCAGAATTGTAACTTAGAAAGGTGTACAAACGTCATATATCACATAGTATCTGAATAAAGAGTGTTAGGCAAATTGTTGTCAAACGACCTCCCCCGGACGATGATGAAATACATTG